CTGTTTCCACATTTGCTTAGTCTTAGAATACCCCCCAAGTAGTTTTATGGTTGCTAACCCACTGTGAGAGACAAGCTTTCTAGTATGATATAGTCACAAGATGCTCTGTCAAACCTCATACTTAAGTGGTCCCATAGGTTATTACTGCCTAGGGATGTCACTGCTGTCCTAGTTTGTGTAAGGATGCTCTATGATGTCTTCACAATGACAATATTGCCTAACAAAGTGTTTCTCAGAGGGTGTCCCTGTTGTGCCTCATGACTGTATTTTGTTTAAAGAAAAACATTACAAAAATACTTATGTATAAGGTTATTTGTTGTAACAATCTGTAATTTAGATTTTTGTCTTAGGCTGAGAATTACTTCCATTTAGTATGGCTATGATAATCATTTGAAATACTGAATACTGAACTCACTGTCTGGAATTTTTTTTAATACTGAGGGTTGAACCCAGGTTCTTGGCACATGCTATGTACCATGAGTTATGCTTTAACTTCTTGAAATTCTAAATTTATGTTTGTAGTTTGTGCTTAATAGGTGAAGTCTGATGCACTAATAGAGCATGAACCAGGAGCTTGGAGACTGGCTCATGCCTGGTCCTGCCACCAGGACCAGGATGGGTTCTCTGCTGCCCACTCTTGCCCCTGGACAACCTCCTCTCCTTACCTCTCATGCATTGGGATGGGTTCAGGGGGGAAAAACTACCTATGAGCTTGCACTTTGGTGAACACAGTGGCATTCAGACTATCCAGGGCAGAGTGTCTGCACAGAGCCTGTGTCTAATGACCCCTAAGTATATTCTCTTCCTGCAGGGCATAGCTGTCTTAGCCTCTGGCTGCCAACACTTTCAGGGAATGTTTGGAGGAGACTTGCTGTTTACACTGTGGCCATCTAAACGATAAGCTGCTTCCCTTTCTGTCAAGAGAGTCCTGGCCTGTGAATTGGAGGAGAGGCTCTGTGCTTGTGTCCATTTTTGTTTATCAAGTAGTAGTGCATTAGTAGGCTCCCATTTTATTCCTGAGGGTCAAACATCCTCATCCAACTGTGCAATGTTGCATCCATCTCGCTTCTGGAAGGTCAGTGTTGCTGCTTGGCTTCTGCTGCGATAGGATCACCAATCCAGTCATCTCCTGGCCTTGGAGGATTTTGATCTCCTTCTCAATGCATCTCCCAGTGCCTCTCTGAAGAGTGTACTTTGGTGAATGTGGGCATCACCTCCTAAGAGAAACGCACCCCAGCATTCCTTTCTTCCTATGCTTTTGGCTTCTCACCTCTTAACTTAGGCTTCTCTGTCTCATGGCACCTAGGCTACTAATGAGTCAGCCAAACTGTCAGAGCTCCTGAGGACACTGGATTCAGGATCTCCAGAAAGCAAACTGTCGACATGCGTGGCCCAACTAGGGTCATATTCACACCCTGCGCGTTTAGTCTAACACCTCAGAACTCATTCTCAAACATTTTCCAGGTTTCTAATAATACAAACTAGAAAAATCTTACCAATTTGGTACTCCATGATTAATTTATTGATGGCCACCTGACATTTGTCACCAAAGGTCAGAAACCTGAGTAGAAAGAGTCTTCCTTCCATCTCCTGCCAGTGTCTCCCACTGGCAGATCCTAACAGGAAGTCAGAAAGGCAGCAGAGTACTGGGGTCATAGGGTCATGAGGTCCTGCTGTGGTTTGGATAGATGAGAATGGGGCCAGATGGACAGGTGTTATGTCCACCCCAGAAGCCCAGGCTGATTGGATTCAAGTACTAAGTTCCTGCTGCAGGCAGTGCTAGGTCCTGGGAGGTACTGGGGAACAAAACAGCCTCCACTGTCCTGAAGCACAGCCACATGGCAGAGGCAGACAAAAAACATGCTATTAAACACTTCACCTTAAAGTATCATTAGGTGTGTCAGACCAAGTGTTTTTATTTGGAATATACAAAAATCCCCCAGAAATGTAAAGGATCACTCTAATAAATACTCCACTCCCCCACACACACACAGTAGACCCCTCACGAAAGAGGCTATTCCTGTAAATGAGGAGCTGTCCTTGAGTACTTCAAAGGCAAAAGCACAGTGAGGCACCAGCATGTAACTACCTACTGACAAAGACTGGTGGTGCTGAGCTTGGAGCAACCAGCCCTCTCCTGCTGGGAGAATATAAGCCAGGATACTTGGGGAAGCTACTCAGCACTGTCCACAGAAGCAAGGATGTCCCTGCCCTGGGACCCAGGAGTTCTCACTCCAGATATGTAACCAAGAGATCTAATGGCCTAGGTCCACAAAAGACTACAAGAAAAAAATTCCCAATGAATTTCTGGAGAACATAAAAACAAAACGGAGAATTGGCAAATTAATAGCTGATAAGTGGTAGAACATTTTTACTTGGATAAAATGTTCATGGAAGCCATATTCATAAAACCTTCAATCTGGAGACAACCCAACAAAATGTGGATGAAGGGGTAAGAGAATGGGTAAACCATGGCACAGTCGTACAACTGAATAGTGTTCAACGATAATGAGTCTTCCAGGTAATGTTGAGCCAAAGAAGCCAGACAGCAGTTCACACCATGTGACCGGTCCACACACAGGACTTGTCCAGTTCGTCCAGAGGATAGCAGGCGGACCAGAGCTTTGGGAGTTACTGACTGGGGAGGACCCCGTCTTGTGTACGAGGAGTGCACTCTCTGGCATGGAGCTTGCTCAGGTGTATACATAGGACAGTTCATCTATAAACAGGATCTGTAGACTTCCCAGTACGTATGTTGCACCTTCAAAAATTAATCAAATAAAAGCTCTACTGGCGGGACTTGGTAGTGTGCTGTCTCACAAGTAGTTCTCCACTCCCAGACCTGGATCCCTGGGCTTCTAGCTAGGAAGCACAGCAGCAGGCATCACGGGAAGATGAAGAGCTTCCCTGAAGATGACCCATCTCACAGCCTTTCTGGGATACAAGGCTGGCATGACCTATATCAAGTGGGAAGTTGATAAGCCAGGATCCAAGGTGAACAAGGAGGAGGTTGTGGAGGTTGTAATCATAGAGGAGACACCACCCAGGGTGGTTATAGGCATTGTGAGCTACGTGGAAACCCTACCAGGCCTCCAGTCCTTCAAGACCATCTTTGCTGAGCATATCAGTGATGAGTGCAAAAGGTGCTTCTATAAGAACTGGCATAAATCTAAGAAGAAGGCCTTTGCCAAATACTGCAAGAAGTGGCAGGATGTAATGGGCAAGAAGCAATTGGAGAAGGACTTCAGCATGAAAAAATACTGCCAGGACATCCAGATTATCGCCTCCACCCAGATGTGGCTGCTTCCCTTGCACCAGAAGAAAGCCCGCCTGATGGAGTTCCAGGTGAATGGAGGCACCAAGGCTAAGAAACTGAACTGGGCCAGGAGAGGCTGGAGCAGCAGGTCCCAATGAACCAGGTGTTTGGGCAGGATGACATGATGGATATCATCAGTGTGACCAAGGGCAAAGGCTACAAAGGAGTCACCAGTCACTGGCATACCAAGAAGCTGCCCGGCAAGACCCACCAAGGGCTGTGCAAGGTTGCCTGTATTGGAGCTTGGCATCCTGCCTATGTGGTCTTCTCTGTGACCTGGGCTACCATCACCACACTGAGATCAACAAGAAGATCTACAAGATTGGTCATGGCTACCTCATGAAGGATGACAAACTAATCAAAAATAATGCTTCAAGTGATTAACCTGTCTGACAAGAGCATCAGCCCTTTGGGTGGCTTTTGTCTACTATGGTGAGGTGACCAGTGACTTCGTCATGCTGAAAGGTTGGTGGGTCCAAGAAGCCAGTGCTCACCTTCCACAAGTTCTTGCTGGTACAGACTGAACAGCGCTCTGGAGAAGGTCGGCCAGGGTTCATGACACTACAACCAAGTTTGGCAATGGCTGCCTCCAGACTATGGAGGAGAAGAAAGCACTCATTGGACCACTTCAGAAAGACTGGATCACCAAGGAAGAAGGTGCTTGAGTCTGGAGCATGGGCAGATGGCTGCACCCAATAAAAACTTTTTCAGTGAAAAAAAAATTAATTAAAAAAGAAACAGGATAATTTTATAAAAATATGAGAGCCAAGAAGAAATTAAGGCATGGGGAGGCTGCTGGGACTGAGACTCGGATGGAAAGAAGGTAGCCCATAATGAGAGGGACAGCAAGAGCAAAAGTCCTGGGCCAGATCAAGTTGGGTATGTCGGAGGAACCCGCACAAGTCTCGTGGACCAGAAGGAACAGAGAGAGCTGAGGCGGAGGAGGATGGCATGGCCAGGGAAGCTCTTTGTGGGAAGCCATGAAAAGTACAGAGAGGGGTGTGGGCAAGTCTCTCGAGGGCTTGGGCGGAGGGAGTGAGGAGAAGAGAGAGCTTTGGCGACTTAGTTGTGTGCTGAGGCCCTCTGGGAGGTGGGGAGCGGGGAGCCCATTGATGGGCAGGGGAGGAGGACATGGAGGCCCACACACTGGAGGCCAGGAACTGAGCAGTTTGTTAGGTGCCCCACTGTGGGTGAGTGTGGGTGAGGCGGTGGGCAGCGGGGCTGCAGCGAGGGTTACGGCATGAATGCCCAGGTGGGAGTTCAGATCTCTGGACCAGAGAGGAGTGCCTGTGAAAACCCCAACGCAGGAGCAAGGCCACACGCTTTTCTGTAAGAGACTAGGGCAGCCGGGGCCTTGGATAGACAGTGCTTTAAATGAACGCACCTCTTCGCCAGCTCTGCGACCTGAAGCAGAGTGCCTGCCCTGGACCTCCCAGGCCTGCCACAACATGAACAAGCACGTTCACCTGAGCCCCTGGCATGGAGGCTGGGGCATATGTGCTTCTAAGGTCCTTGGGTGATTCTTCTGCACCAGGAAGTATGGAAACCTCTCACTTCCAGTGGCTGAGAAATATGTGTGGGAGGTGTGTATCCTTGTTTCCTCACTTGGGTGAGAGAGAGAGAGAGAGAGAGAGTATGTGTGTGTGTGTGTGTGTGTGAGAGAGAGAGAGAGAGAGAGACAGATGGGGGGGAGAGGGAGAGAGCAATTTCCTCCTTCCCTCTCCAAGGGTGGGGCTGCTCCTGGGTTTGGGAGACCAGGTCTGTTCCGTGAGCTTTCGCTGTGTGTGTGTGTATGTGTGTGTGTGTGTGTGTGCGCGCGCGAGAGTGTGTGTGTGGGGGGCGGGCACGGTGTCCCAGGAGGACAGAGTTTGCATTGATGAAAACCCTTCCCAGCCCTTTGATGCCTCTTTCCCTTTGCTAAAGTGCAGCGGCTCAGTCCTCTCGCCCGGCACGCACTACGCTCACTCTCCGCCAGGATGGCATCCTTCCTGGCCCTGCGCGTGGCTCTTCTGCTCATCTCTGGGGTCCTGGCCCCTGCGGTGCTCACAGGTAAGGGGTGCAGGCCTTTGGTTCAGCTGCCATCAGCCTCCAGGGGTCAAGAACCCCCTTGGGGCCAGATTCTTCAGTGTCCCCTGGGTTGCGGGCATTTGGGTGACTGATGGAAGCTGTCAGAGTCCAGCTAGGAGCATCTGCACAGGATAGGTGTCTCAACCACAAGAACAATGACTGAGGTGGGAGGGTAACCTGGGGAGCAGGGTCAGGACATGTATCTGTATGGGGACATGAGGGTTACTCCAGAACTCAAACATCTAAAGGTTTTCAGGTATGGGAGGCAGGAGAGGGCACCGGGCACGGAGCAAGTGGCAGAAGGGTCACAGACCCAGTCACCAAGCCGAAGTCCACAAAGTCCTGTTAGTTACCTTTCAAGACCCATAAACCCTTCCCTGCTGGTCTTCTGCAGTGCTCACAGAGTGAAGGTCCAGGTCATGTCTCCATCTTGGGAAAATTTTCAGAGAGGGCAAAAGACCTGAGATCTCACTGAGGATGCTGGACTTAGGCTCTGAACGGAGGCCAAAATGACCCCAACTGGGGCAAGCAAGAAAAAAGCCCCAGCCGACTCTCTGGGGCCTGCACTGGGAGGGACTGGTCCAGGCTGACTTCAGAGTTTGAGAAAAAGATGCAGATGGGCAGAGGCTGGCTTTGCTCTGGAAAGAAATACTCTCCCTCCATTGCTAAAGGGCACCCGCCTCTATACCCAGAGTGTCTCAAGGCCCTGAAGCCTGGGCTTTGGGGATGTCGTGGATCTTTGAGGGAGGAAAGTGACCTCCCTTGTGAAAGCGTGGCCTGGGGAGAGCTGATGTGACCCCCACCCCACCCTGGGAAGCCTGCACGATGGTGGCCTGCTGGCGTCGCCTCTGGCTCTGTCCCTACCCTCTCCACACATGCCCTCTCCTTGTCCGCAGGGGGCGAGACGACCACCACTCGCCTCCCTCAGGGACCAGGGAGCTTCACAGTCAGACACAGGAGCTCTCGGGATGGACCTAGCGTCCTGTCGACACTCAGCAGATGCTGAGGGAATGTGCCTCCAACCTCTAGGCCCTCCTTGGAACCCTGGGTCTCCGGCAGAGCGACTTTCTTCACAGGCTGGGCAGTGCCCTGCCAACTGGTGGTAGGAGAGATGCCTACTGAGCGAGCCCATGTGATGGTCTTGGAATTGGGGGAAGTAACCTTAAGTGTAGGAGTGTCTCCCACTGCTTGGACCTTAGCGTTGAGATCCCTGCAGCCCCCACCCTAGGGAAACTACTGAGCCTACCTCCCTGTGGCCTGGGGCTGCTGGCTCTCCCAGCCCAGGCCTCCTCCAGTCTAGGTCAGACTGCACACACAGGGGTTGGTGGGCTTTGGGGACAGCCAGGACCTGACCTGGCCTCACTTCCCTCTTCCTTCTACATGTGCTACCAACAGGCAGGCCCCACGGGCAAGGGGCCAGAGCATACCAACCTCCCCAGGGTTTGGGGTTCTGGCTATTATTCTGACCCTTCTTGGAAGGAGGGTGTTTGGGGACTCTGGGATCTGGCTCTGGGCTAGATAGAAACTGAGCAGATGTGTTCAAGGCCCAGCAGGCCCCCTGACTTTCCTGGGCTGGGGTCCTGTGGCAAGAAGGAGGGGAAAGAGCGCTACTCTGCTGTCCTGTCTGCCAGGAGCTGGTGGCTGCAGCCACTGGGGTGGGGGAGTGAGCCAGGTTGAGCCGGCAGGAGGCCAGGCCAGGGATGAAAAGGCCCTTCATGGCCCCGCACAAAGGCTGCCTGTGAACACAGTGCCTGGCCTCGGGGCCCTGTGGTCAGACAGAGTGTTAAACAAACTTATTTACTGAAAGGCAGGGTAACTGGGGGAGCCTGAGGTGCCCAGGCCTGTGGCAGCACCATCAGGCCCCCACCGTCCCTGTTGGCTTCGGCCCAGCATGGAGGCCCAGGCCATCACTCACTCCGTCCTTGAAGTTCTGGGTCCCACCATTGCCAAGGCGACAGTCCTTCGCATCTCCCCTTCCCCACCCTCACGCGCTGTCACTTAGCCTGCTGGGCAGTCCTCTGAACTGGGGGGACTGCAGGCTGTGCTCTGTGCTCCTGTTGGTCCCTGTGGCTTTTCTTTGCCTATCTTCACCCTCTCTGACAGGGCCTCCCTGGGGCAAACTGGCTGACAGCTTCCCAGCACCAATTTGGGGGAGGACAGGCAATTGCCTGTAACAGAGCAATGCAGGTGGAGACGGGCATACAGGGCTCTCACAGCTGCACTTCCTTTGCTGGTGGATTGGGGTGAGTTTAGCCTGTGGCCCAGGCCAGCAGGCACCACCCAGGTCCGCTGGACCTGGTACCCAGAAGCCTTTGGGCGGCCTCTCTGGTCAGATGCCCAGCACCAGAGGTGAGCCTTGGCCACAGTGGTGGGACAGGGAGGTGCCTGCCTGCCAGTCTGTCTTGGGCATGTGGTGAACAAGCAGGGGGCCAGCGGTTTGTCCATTTCTTAGGGCAGACAGGCAGTCTGTGAACCCCAGACCTCAGGGCTTGCCAAGCAATGGGCACACTCTGGCCTTTTTTTGCCTAGCCCCTGAAGCCTGAGGCCCGCATGCCTAGGGTCTGGGACCTTTCATGGGAGCTTTGAGGCTACAGACCCTGCCCTTCCTGGCTGCAACATGGGAAGCCTAGCTGGGTCACCTCCCCCTCCTCAAAGGATGATCTTCAAGGTTGGGCCAGAGTGGCAGCCAGACACCAGTGTGGCAGTTCAGCCCTGGGTCTTCTGGGAGGTAGACCACCAAGTGGGTGCTGCCAGGCTCCAGGGGCCTCCTTGTCAGGGAATGTTTTTTTTGTTTGTTTTATACTGGGGAATGAGCCCACGGTTGCTTAACCATTGAGCCACATTTACAGCCCTATTTATTTATTTACTGGGTCCTGGAAATTGAACTCAGGGGTACTTGACCACTGAGCCATATCCCCAGCCCTATTTTGTATTTTATTTAGAGACAGGGTCTCACTGAGTTGCTTAAGGCCTTGCTTTGTGCTGAGGTTGACTTTGAACTTGCGATCTTCCTATCTCAGCCTCCCAAGTCGCTGAGATTACAGGCATATGCCACCACGCCCAGCACAGCTATTTTTATTTTTAATTTTTTTTTTTTAGAGAGAGAATTTTAATATTTATTTTTTAGTTTTTGGCAGACACAACATCTTTGTTGGTATGTGGTGCTGAGGATCGAACCCGGGCCACATGCATGCCAGGTGAGCGCGCTACCGCTTGAGCCACATCCCCAACCCCAGCCATTTTTATTTTTTAAAAATATTTTTAGTTGGGCTGGGGATGTGGCTCAAGCATGCGGGCGGCCCGGGTTCAATCCTCAGCACCACATACCAACAAAGATGTTGTGTCCGCCGATAATGAAAAAATAAATATTTTAGAAAAAAAAATATTTTTAGTTGTAGAGGAACACGATATCTTTTATTTATTTATTTATTTATTTTTTTATGTGGTGCTGAGAATCGAACCCATTGCTTCACACATGCTAGGGAAGCACTCTACCACTGAGCCACAACCCCAGGCCTTTATTTATTTATTTATTTATTTTTATTTTGAGACAAAGTCTCACTAAATTGCTTAGGACCTTGCTAAATTTCTGAGTCTGGCCTTGAATTCGTGATCCTCCTGCCTCAGCCTCCTGAACCACTGAGATTGCCAACATGAGCCACCACACCTGACTGCCATTGATCTTTTCTGAAAAGGGTTCTGATTTGATGAAGCCCTAAGGAAGGTGACAGTGGTCCCTGCCTGCAAGCTGAGCCTCACAACTGACCCAGACCTGGCTTTTTGAGGAGGTGGCAGGGGCAGAGTCTGGTTACATTTTATGGTGAAAAGTTCACAGAAAAGTTGCAAAAAAATAATCCAGTGAACTCCAGTAGATGCTTCACCTAAATCTACCAAATACCAACATTCTGCTGCATCGCTCCTGCTTCCTGGATGTCGAATGGTTTGAAAGGAAGTTGCTGACGATAATGCCTCTTTGCTCCCAAATGTTTCCTAAGAACATGCATCTTGTCTTACACAAGCAGAGTCCACAATTAAAACCAGAGGGACACTGACAGAGCCTGAGCTACAGCCCGATTCAGATTCCACCCACAGATTCCAAATATCTTCTACCTCAGGCCTGCCCCCCCCCCAATCAGGAACACACCTTTGTTTACCTGTCTCCTCTCTAATCTGTAACAAGTCCTCCACCTTCCTTTGCCTTTCCTGACCCTGACATTTTTGAAGGGCCCAGTTATTTTAAGACTGACCCTAAGTGTGGGTTTGGCTGACATTTCCTCTGGGTTTGCCCCAGATGGGCAGGAAGCTCCAGAGGTCCCTGTGTCTTCTCTGAGCACCCTTCTCCTGGAGTTGGTGAGCTCGTCCCAGTGAGGCCTTCAGGGGCTAGGGAGTGCCCAGGGATAGAGCTCCTGGGTATGAAAGGGCCCAGGAACCTACAGGCTGCTGTCAGGGCTGTTAAAAGACCTGCAGCTTCCTGCGGCCTCACAGGAAGTGCGGCCTTCAGCACACTGTCCAGGGCTGCAGACCATTTACCACGTGACCCCACAGCTCAACCTGAGCCTTGGCTTTCTTGCTCCTGAAAAGGAATAAGAATGGTCCCCATGCCACAAACAGCTGCAGTCAATGCAATGGCGTGTAGTGACACAACATCCAATAAGCTCACTCTAGGGATCTGCTTGGGGGCTGTCTCTGGGTCACAGTTCCGTCCCAGTTATCAGGAGGGTCTGGCAGCCCTGACTCTGCTGAAGCCTTGCTGTGGGATGAAGGCTGGGAGGAGAGGCCTGGAGCCCACCTGCCATCCTGGCCTTAAACTGAACTGGGTTTCGGAGGCCTCCCTCCTGGGCAAGGTGGGTGAGCCCTCGGTGTGTGTTGCTCTGGAGCTCCACCGGGGTCCTGAGGGTTGGGTGGTGAGGCTGGTTGGGGCCCAAGGAGAAGATCATTACCAGGCCTCTCATCCTGTGCTCCCTATGGGATTAAGGCTGTCTCCCTCCTGCTCTCTGGGGTCCCTGCATTCCCCCAACCCTGCTGACTCCAACCTCATAAGCAGAGAGGGACTCTTGTAGAAAGCTGCCCAGGGACTGATGTGCAGGTGCCTGGCTTGATGGTGGGCCTCCCTTGCTGGCTGCCCCTCCCCTCTTCCACCTCCCTGTTCAGGAGACAGCAGTCTTGGTTGTGGAGGGTAGCCCTCTGCCTTGTGGTGGCGGGACTGCCGCAGTCAGGCTCAGGAGGAGCAGGGTCACCTGTATCAGGCAGGGTCTGGATGGGCCTCTCCTTGTGGCAGTGGAACCCTTGAGGGTCTTGGGGTATGTAGGGACCCTGGTTCCCAGTCTTTTCCTCAGGTGAAGGAGGTCTTGGGGTTTGGGTCCATGAACCCCACCTCCACTGCCCCAAAGTTACCCTGCCAGCCCCAGGCTCAGTCTCTGAGGGCCCATAGGTCTCCCCACCCTACCCCATCAATCTGTCCTCACATTCTGGAGGCAGCCTGGCTCCCGGCCCCTGGCAGGCATCTGGACCAATGTACCATGGCCTCGGGGTGAGTTTTGCAGTTTGCTTGCCTGTGAAATGGGAAGGCCAGTGTAGTGTTGAACTCAGAGCTTTACACACTGGCTCCTTGAGTTGACCGACCAGGGAGGGGAACTCCAAAGCGCAGTAGGCCCAGCCACCTGGCTTCACCGCCTGTCTTTGACCTTGCAGCCGAGGGTCCGCAGGAGCCTGATCCCACACTGTGGAACGAACCCGCCGAGCTGCCGTCGGGAGAAGGCCCCATTGAGAGTACCAGCCCCGGCCAGGAGCCTGCAGCCACCGCTGCACCGCCTCCCACCTCTGTGCCCGGCCCAGAGGACAGCACGGCGCGGGAGCGGCTGGACCACGGCGGCGGTACAAGCTTGGGGAAGAGGGCGGGGAGGGGAAGGGGAGCGGAGGGAAGGGCGGCCGCGGCTGGGGCCAGGGACTGATGCGGTCTCCGTCCTCCGCAGGCTCGCTGGGGCCCGGTGCCATCGCAGCCATCGTGATCGCCGCCCTGCTGGCCACCTGCGTGGTGCTGGCGCTAGTGGTCGTCGCGCTGAGAAAGTTTTCCACCTCCTGAAGCAAATAAATGAGCCGCGACCGCTTGCGGGGCGACTCGGCTGCACTCCCCATGCGCCCTGTGTCTGCGCGTGCGCCCGCGCGTGAGTGTGAGCGCGTGGAGGTGTGCCAGAGTGCGCGCGAGAGCCGGGGAGAGCACGCAGGTCCGCGCCGCGTGTGCTGCGCCGTGGGTGGAGGGCAAAGGCGTGCAACTCGTGCGCGGGTGGCCACGTGCGCCAGTGCATGCGCGCGTGTGCGCAGCGATTCCGAGCCCGCGTGCATGTGACGTGCTGGAGAGCGCGTGCAGAACAGGGAGCAATGTGCGCGCAGCGGGGCCGCGGGTGGTGGGTGCTGGAGTGCAAGCGCGCTTTGCAAGCTAAGGAGCCGGGCAGCTCTCCTGCTCTTGGGCCCCGACCCAGCTCCGGTCTCCGTAGCACCTGGGGCAGATCCCCACATCCGCCCCCTTGCTGGACCGGGAGAGACCTAGGCGAAGGGAAGCTGGAGGCCGACAGGTAGAACTGGCTACAGAGCTTGTCCAGCCGCAGCCCTCCTTCTAGAGATCCTGGGGATGGCGGAGGGCTTTCAGGCTCCCAAAGGCCAGGTTGTTTGGGGTGACGATGCCATCATTTGACTTAGATACAGACACGAGGGATCTCATCTCTACTCACAGCCCCAGGCCCTCAGGGTTCTGGGAATCCCCCTCCTCCAGGTAGCCCCAGGAGTAGGATGGGTCCAGGAGTGAAGCTGGGTGCTATCACCCCTGTTGCCACTCCCCAGCCTCACCCCCAGGCCTGGGTGAGGTTTTACTGCATTTAACAGGGACTTGAAGAGTCCCTTGGGCTGGCCTTTCCAAGCTCAGCTGTCCTTGTGGGAACCTGAGAGTGTGGATAAGGCTGTCTGTCCATCCAATCGCCTTTCCCCCCAACTCCTGGAACTTTGTCCTTTGTCTTGCCTTCTGTCTTCCACTCTTAAGAGGAAACAGCTTTGATCATTTGGAGAGGTTTCACAGTGGCCTGCTCTGGGCACACAGGTCTGAAGCACAACTCTAGCCCACCCTGGGGCTGTGGGAGCTGGGCATGGAAGTGGCAGGTAGAAGCCATCCCTTGGTGATGATTTATGCAGCTGGAGGAGGCCTGGGCAGGGGTGCTGGAGAGAAGCTGTCTCCCCTACCCCCCTGACCCCCCTTTTTAAAACCATTTTCTCTCAAAACTGTTTGGCCTCTTTGGCTTCCCTAACCCCCCAAGGGCACCTTTTCCTGCCAAGACCCGTTTCTCCTGGGTACTCTGGAGCCAGAGCTGCACCATCACCACACTCACACACTTGGGGCAGACCCCATAGAAGCCTGTGGAACAACTTCCACTCCTGGCAGTCTCCCCAGAGCACATCATGGGCTAATAGGGTCTGCTTATAAATTTTCATGAAACAGTTGAAATTATTTCATTCCACATGACCTTGAACAGCCAAAATCCTCAATGGAGAAGATAATCCAACTCAATATGCTGTTCCCAGATTCAGAAAGCCTGGGTGATCACCCACTCCAGGCCCTAGCTTGTCCCCTCCCCCACCCTGGGGCTCAGAAAGAGGCCCCCTCCCTTGCCCACCCACTGTGGCCTGTGGGAAGATGCTAGGAAGTCCCACTGGCTCTAACTCCAAGGCCTGTTCTAGTGTTCTTCGTCCTGGCAGAGTGTTCCTGGTCCCAGCATACTGTACCCTGGACACTCAGGGGACAGAATCAGGGGTGGGGATGAGGTAGCTCTGCTGGCCAGCCAGGCCACGGGCGAGGTTGCAGCCCCTGGTAACTGGCTGCGACTGAAGGCTTGAAGAAGTGTCTAAAACCAGTGTTTGGGTCAGGTGCGGAGTTCCCCCCAACTGGGGACCACCTCACTGCCCTTGTGATCTTGCAAAGCTCTTCTCAATTCCATGCAGTAAAGATGTCCCCCACTCCCTCGGACAGCTGCTTCCCTCCTTCCACAAGTGGAGGCTCAAATCCCCATCCATTTGGAGACCTGACCCTGGCTGCTCTCCCCTGCCCTGGAAGCCTCCTCAGGGTCTTGAAGACTTGATCCTTTGGAACATGCCTCCCCCTGCTGGCCTTGAAAGGTGCTCCCATCTCCCGGGCCAGAACCAAACGCCCCCTTCCTGTGTGCACCCGGATAATAAAGGATAGACCTTCGCCTCTTATATTTTATACATGATGCTTCTTTTAATGCAGCCAAAAAAATGATATTTGCTTTTCTCAGAACCATAACCATACACGATGCAGTGACCAATTCATTCCATAAAACACCTAGGCTCCTTAAGAGGCCAGAAGACACAAGTTACATCCAACCCATCAAGGAGCCAGAGGCGACATGGGCCCCCAGCCAAGCTTGGGCAGGCCTGCCATGGAGCAGGGCCTGGCTGTGCAGCCGGAGGCGGCAGAGGCAGGGGAAGGAGGACAGAGGCGGCTGGTCTCAGTCCCATGAGTCAGAGACCAAGGGCCACTCATCAAGCTCCGTCAGGCAAAGGCAGCCCCTGGGTGTGCCTGGTAGATTCTAACAGCTTTCAAGGTAGGGAAGGGCACGTGCAGTGCAGGGGACCCTGACAGTTGTCACCCTCCGCCTGGCCTGCCAGGGACGCCGGCCTCAGGGACACTAGTGATCCCTGGGCATGCCTGTCCTCCAACCCCGCCAAGAGGTAAGAGAGGGAGGTGGTGTATGTACTGCTCACAACATGACTCCTTCACGAAGACCCAGGGGAGGCAGCTGCTGCTAGTCTGTGAGTGAATGAGGGCGGGGACACTGGCGCACTCACCGCATGGGCAGGGACCAGCGTGTGCACCTCCTGTCGCACCCCTGGGGAGGTGCCAGTCTGTCCTTTCCCAGGCCTCCTTGTCTGCAGGGTCCCAGCCAGGCCTGCTCCCCCGCCCCTCCTTGTGCAGGTTAGCGCCTGGGCAGGGGTCATTGCCGATTCCGGCTGCCCAGCTTCCTGCGGTCCTTGTTCTGGCTGCGCTGGGGGTCATCCATCTTGTGGACACGGATACATTCCTTGAGGTTCTGGGAGCGGATCTTGGGGTTCAGAATCTCCTCAGTCATGGAGCTGGGGAACCAGCCTCTCTCCTGGTCATGCAGGCGCTCCCCAAAGATCCACCCTGAGGAGGAGGGGCAGCAGGGTCAGGCACTCCACAGGGGCAGGGGCAGGAGCCGGGGCCTGGGTGGAGCTCCCCCAGCTAAGGCTCCTGTCTGTGTGGGGAGCAAGGCTGAAGGACTGAGTCCAGCTGGCCTTTCCCAGAGGGCAGCAGCTTGGCACACCCGGCTCAGGCCAGGTTCATCCCCGTGAGCTGGGAAGGCAGGTGGCGAATGCAGAGGACCAGGCTGCAGGCTCTGACACCAGCTCCACACTGACCCCTCCGCACTCCCACAGTAGGCCAGGAGCCCCCAGAGTGAGAGGCATCCAAGGGGCCCATTGGAGTCCATGCCCCAAGCCTGGACCTGGAGGTCACCTTCTTATTGGTCAGTTCCTCTCAGAGCCTCAGCCTCCCAAAGGCCACTATAGCCAGCTGAGAGTGACCTCTGAGCTGGTAACACTGGAGTCACAGTGCTCTGGCCCTCTCCCCCACTGCTGGCTCGGCCCCCTTCTCCCCACCCCCAACCTGGGCCTGGGGGCATATTCCCACCAGCTCTGGGGGGCCTGGGGCATGCTCTCTGCAGGTCACCTTTGGGCAGGTGTGTATTCAGTTGAAGAAGGAATCTGGAATGGGGCCCAGAGGGGGCCTGAGTGGAGGAGGCCTCCCGGGATGGGCTGGTCACCTGGCCTGGGCAGAGAAACAGGGAAAGGGGGGCCAGGCACAGTGGCGACGCCTGTGATCCCAGCGACTGAGAGCCTGAGCCAGGAGGAATGCAAGTTCAAAGCCAGCCTCTGCAACTTAGGGAGATTCTCAGTGCCTTAGAGAGACCCTGTCTCAAAATAAAAGTTTTAAAAGGGCTGGGGATGTGGCTCAGTGGTGGACAGCCTCTGGGTTTCATGCTCAGTACTGTAAATAATTAAATTAATTCAGTAAAATTAAATTCTGCAGGGTCTGGGAAGGAACTTCATTTGGTGTTGATGTCACCTGTGTGTGTGTGGGGGGGAGGGTCCTGGCCCCAGGGAGCCCCGAGGCTAGTGGTCACAGGCTTCCCTGGAGGCCTGGCTTGGGGCATGGCGTTCTGCTCACCTCCCTTCCACTGTGATGGGAGGATTGAAGCCAGACGTCAAGGGCAGGGGGCTGCAGAATGCCTGCGGGCTGGGCTTGCTGGGAGGGGTGAAGTGGAACCTCACTTTGGGTAGGAAAGCAGACACCGAAAAAACCCCTTGGGCTGGGAGAGGAGCAGGGCTGGGGTCCCCGGGCCTCACCATCTTCCGTCTTCTCCAGGATGTTCAGGATGTCAGCCAGTTCCAGTGTCAGCTCATCAGGCTGCTGGGCCACGTACGGGTGCACGCACTGGACCTGCGGGCAGTCTGAGGGGAGGAGAGGGGGGATGGCGTGTCCCCATCGCGGCCCCACACCTGCACCCCGGCAAGCAGTGGCTGGCAGGGACAGCTCTGCAGCCGGTGGGTGGCTGAGCCCCACCTGATACAGGACTTGAACTCCCCAGCCACGGACAGGGCTCACCTGACGGGGAGGGGGGATTGCTTCCAAAGGCAACACCCCCGACTAGCCAGGAGTTCTGGGAGAGAACACCGGAGGCAGGGACCCTCCGAATGTGCTCAGCTGAAGCTTCAGAAGGCACCCCAGGGTGTGGCCCTGGAGGTGATTTGGGGGCTCAGGACAAGAGGTCACAGCCAGGAGCCGTGGCTAGTCTGCGAGGCGCTGGGCTGGTGCACCTTTGGGTCTTAGATGCTTTCCAAATAACCGGCAACCCCCAAAGAGCCTTGGAGTTGGGGCCCAGGTTCCTCCTGGTGTCCCCGTGGTTCCTGTCACCTATGACCCAGTGACTGCTATCTTTATGTTGACCGTCCAGCACTGGCGAAGCTGGGGTCGGCATCCTGGGTGGTGCCAAGCTCCTGCCCTGGGCGAGGCCTGAAGCTGCGGCCCAGGGAGCCAGTACAAAGCCCCCGCAGTGGCCCCTTGCCAGGCCGGCACTCACCCAGAAGCCGGGAAGTGAAGGAAACAAACTTGGTCCTCCTGTTGGGGGCCAGCGAGGTCATCCACCGCTTCATCTCACTCCTGGCACAGGGAAGAGGATGGTGCCCCAACCGCAGAGCAGAGCAGAGCAGACCCACCCAGCGTGCGGCCCCGGCCTTCCCAGCAGGCCAATGCCCTGTGACAGGAGGAGCTCCCAGGAGACCCTCCTCACGGGGTGCATTTAAAAAGCCAGGCAGAACGGGGGAGTCACTCCCGGAGTGCATCTGAGGCGCTCAGGGAAGCCGTGGTTTGTTAGCGGCAGCAGGGTGGGGAGGGTTAATGTGACCCCCAGCCCTGGGGACCCTGGTGGGAGTGGCTGCAGAGGGAGCAGGCTGGCCCGGTGGCCAGGAAGGAGCGCTGGGCCCACGGCTCAGGGAGCGTCCCTCCCACGTTGGTCTCGTTGGTCTCGTGGGTCCTGTGAGAGCTCTGGGCTGCGAGGCAGCTGTGCAGGCACTCAGAGGGGAGAGGTGAGGGGCGGAGGGAGGAGGAGGGTGGGCCCCTGGTCAGCCACCCAGTTCTCAGGCTGGCCTGAGAGTGAAGCCCCGAGGGAGCGCACCTGCACACGGAGCTGCCCCGCACTGGCCCACACCCGAAGCTGTGGCCCTGGGGCAGAACCCCCAGAGGGCTGGCCTCCCACAGGTGTGGAGTCTCCTTCCACCTGGGAGCAGGCCTGTGGCAGAGGAGGCCAGGCCTCCTAGCAGGGTGGCTGGGAGGGGCCACAGGGGTGTCACAGGGTGGGCCTGCACAGCACTCACTGAGAAGATGCCTTCAGCATGTAGGTGGCCTCGCGGTCATCTGCATTCTCCAGCAGTCGCAGGATGAAAACATTGGCCAGCGTCTGGCCCTGGTCCTCCAGCTCCTCCACGCGCAGCAGGCCACGGGAGGCCGAGTCGAATACCTGGTACTTGTCTCTGGAGACCAAGGGAGCAGGTGGGCGTGTCAGTCCGGCAGGACAGGCAGCATCGCCCAGCCCAGCCTCCTCAGCCCCCTGCCAGCCCTTGCACGCCTGTCCCCCAGGAGCCTCCTGGCCAGGGTGTGGGGCGGGCAGTGGCTGAGCGCTCCCGGGTGCCAGACACTCACGGGAGCAGAACCCACCTTACGGCAGGGGAAACTGAGGCTCCTGGACAACAGCAGGGGACCTCCAAACCTGATCCCAAGCCCAAGCTCTGTCCTCCACCTGCCCAGCTCCTGGGGCCATGGTCAGACCTGGGCTCATGCCATCCCATTGGCTCACCCAGGAATCTGGCGGCAGATCACCAGCAGGTCATTGAAGAGGAAGAGGTAAATCTCTCGGAAGAGCTTCTTGGTCCGCAGGGTGCGGGAGGTCTTGGGGCCTGACATCTGCTGCAGCTCGCCCTGCTTCAGCAGCCAGCGGGAGTGCGAGATGATGGGCACCGACTAGGAGGGGCAGCAGGGTCAGGGCCTGGACCCTCCTGCCCACCCAGCCCCCAGCAAACTGACCCAGTGACACTGGTGTGACGGTGGAGGGCAGCTGGGCCTGGCCAGGCACAGGGAAACAGCAGCGGTGTGAGTGTGTGTGAATGCGCGCCCCTTGTGCCAGTGTGCTTCACCTGTGTGCGTGTGTGCTTCAACCCGTGTGTGGCTTCTGTGTGTGCACATGTGTTCTGTGCCGTGTACGTACCCACACGTGGGCTTTAGGGCATGTGTTTGTGCCTGTGTTGATGTGTGTGCTGTGTATTTCTTAAATGTGTGTGTACTACTGTGTGTGTATCGCACATGCATGTGCACTGCCATCTGTATACTGCATGTGTGAGCATGTGTGTGTTGCCATGTGTATACTGTGTGTGAACAAGTGTGTGCGCCCTGTGTGTGATCAGCATCTCACTAGGCTCAGCCTGTTTGGTGCAGAGTCCAGGTGGCCATGTTCACAGGAAGAGCAAAGAGAGCTACCAAAGAGCAGGAGCCCGGCCTGCAGGGGCTGGTGCTGGCCCTGGCTGTGCGGAACAGGTGGGAGTGGGGCACAGGCCGTCAGCCCAGAAAACACCTGGCCTCCCCCAGCAGGCCCATCTCTGGGGCCCTTGGTGGGCGCTGTGTGCTGGATGCCTGTCACCAGAAACGCAGGCCCCAGGGGCCCTCAGGGCTTTAGTAACAGCCAAAGTTTTATGTAAAGTTTGGGGAGAAGGTTGATAACCTGACATGAGACTTGAGAATCCTAGAGTAGTCCCTGTCACTGTGAACTGACCGCTCAAGGTCTCAGGGTGAGTAGTTAAGAGTGGGCCTCGGGCGGGCAGGCGGCGCTGGGGCCAGGCACTCGCTCTCAGAAGGCAAGTTTGGAGGCGGGCTTGGGCATGAGCACTGGATTCAGCAGGGCCGGGGAGGTGGCCCGGGCTGGGGCAAGTCTGGGCACACAGTCGGGGTGCACAGTGCGGTGCAGGCTGACTCGCAGCCCAGGCTCACCTTGATCTTGAACTCCATCTTCTTCTGGATGCTGATCATCTGCTCTGTGCGGCTCATTTTCCTGACGCCCTCGTTGCACGCCTTCACCACCTGGGACAGGAGACGCTGCCTCAGGCCAGCCCACCCAACGCCCAGCCGTACTCCTTTCTCCAGGTGAAAACCTGAGAGTCCGGTGGCCTTCAGTGCCTTGTCCCCAGAGGGCACTTCCCGACGAGGCACCGTGTCAGCCAGGCTGGAAGATGTACTGCGAGGCACCAGGTGGCCTCTTGCCCACGGAGGGTGCGCATGTGACTCCTTGGCTCCCTGGTAAGAGGCCACCAGGACCTCAGGGCCTCGTTGTGAAGGAACTAAGCTCTGTGCTGGCTCACAGGCCAGGGCAGCGGCAGGCGATGTCTGTGCCTGTGGGGGGTCCCTGAGCATGAGACCCGTCCATCACGTGGGACTGACTGGGATGATGACAGAACACCCACGGGACAGTCCCATGGAACCGCAAACAAGGCCGTGAACTCTGCATGTACCACATTGGATGGGAGTTTAGGAACTAACCCCCTTTGGCAAAGAAAGCCTGTGAGAGCCTGCGTGCACAGAACATGCCACTCGTCCATGGAAGGTGGACCCCTTTCACGAGGTTCTGCCCCTCGGTAACAGAGTGGAAAGGACTTCCTGCCCCCCACTGTCCACCATCATGGCAGTCAAGAGCCCAGCGGAGACTTCCCACACAGCAGCCCCAACTGGCTCTCAGCTGCAGTGATGCCAGCCGCTCCGCTCCGCACACAGGGCAGAGCCCCGGGAGACTCTCGGATGCAGACGGAGCTGCTGGCCCCCTGAGTCCCGCCTGCCGGACACTTCTAGGAGTCCTCTGCCTCTCTGAGGATCAGGAGAGGACCCTCCACTCAGCCACAGGGAAAGCCCAGCGCTCTCGGCAGGGCCAGTGCGTCCTCCCGGGAGACACGTGCAGGGGTGAGTCTTGAGGGATGGGGAAGTGGGGTGGAGGGACAGGGTTGGGACAAAGAGCTTGCCAGTGGACAGGAAGAACAGGCACAGCCTCCACACAGCCAGAGAAGGGAGGGAGATCATTTGTGACTTGAGGAGAGAGGCCAAGACAAGCTGAGGGTCTGTATGGGCCCCAGACACTTGCCATGAGCAACGCCAGGCAGCTGATGGAGGCTGGGCCTGTGGTGGTGGCAGAGTTCCATGATGGGGAGGAGTGTCCCGAGTGCCCTGTGGCTGCCCCACATCCACCATGAACAAATTAGTGGAGGAGGGTGCTGAGGGGTCTCCAGGACAGAAGGTCTGCTCAAGCACTGTGGGGACCATTTTTAGCTCCGGTGACTTTTCTTGATGGTAAAAGTAAAAATTAAATGAAGGGCCTGGTCTAAAGAGACGAGGGGGCTGGCGGGAGGGTGGCCCACGTGGGGCAAGTGGCCGGCTGGCCCACGTGCAGCAGGAGGGACTCACCATTTCCAGCTCCCTGTGGGCCTCCAGGGCAGTCCCTTCACGCTCCGAGCTCTCTTCCACCCTCTTCAGAATGTTCTGCCAGTGGGGACAGGCTGCGTTACCCTTCCTGCCAAGCCAGCCCAGGAGCTGTGACCGTGACACACACACACAGCCCTCCATCTGACACACCAAGGGTGGAGGCTCCCCATCCTAAGGCTTGCCAGGGTGGGATGAGCACAGCCCAGTCCAGCCCCTGTCCTGGACAGGCGCCAAGGGCCTTGGGGGGCCTGCGGTTCCCCTCCCTCCCTCAGCTGCTGCTGGGAGCCTGGTCCTGAGGCTTCCTGAACTTTGGCCCCATCAATAATCAATTGTCTTTTCTCCAATTGTTCCGTTTTCTTCAATTAACAAAACTTCGTGCCCAGGGTGCTTTGGGGCCGGGCGTGGTTTCTCCTGGCAATCCTCCCGTACCCAGGGTGAGGTCTGCTTTTGCCCCGTGAGGTCTGGGTGTCTGGGCTCCATCTCCCCGTCCTCCTGGCCGTCATGCACCATGGCCGTACCCATGTCTCCAGCTGCCCCGCCGTTGGCCCCAGCTCTCTCCTCCACCCCTGCCTGCCCTCCTCTCCCAGCAGCCAAGCCAGAGACCTGCGAGCTTCCCCAGGTACCTTCCGCTCCTTCCTCACCATGCGAGGCCAGTCACAAACCCTGTCATTAACTGTCCCTCCTGGCCAGTGCTGCTCAGCTGTCTCATTAGAGCAAAAGTTCCTTTTAACCAGGTCACATTGGTGGCCTCAAATGGAGGACAGTGTCAGCCCCGTGGCCTGCTGCGTGCTCTTCTCAGCATGTCCCTGGGTACCCTAGTGCTGTGACCTCAGTTCCAGGTGGACCTCATCCCCAAACACACTTCCTCTGAGTCCTTCCCTAGGGCCCCCAGTTACCCCTGCTCTCCCACAGCACCACGCAGGTGGGTTTCAATCTCACACTGGTTTTCATCCCACCTAAGTCAAGGTCTTTGTATATCCGTGTATGTTCGTCTCTACGACACGTCAAAGCTGTTTACTCTGCATCCCTGGAAACTGATTCAGTTTTTCTCAGTTAAAAACATTACGCTCGTCCCTCCTTTATTCCAGCCTCGTGGGTTCCCTCAGCCGCTACCTCTTTGATGTTGCTTCCTGTGCTTCTGAGACCTCCTCCCGGCCTCCTCCGGGCCTCCTCCCAGCCTCCTCCCCTCTGCTTCTGAGCCAGCTGCCCCTTGGTGTCCGCCTGCCTGACCCTGACTTCCACAGCTGTGGCTCCAGGACATCATCTGGGGCCCCAGTGGGACTCACGAGGCCCTTCACTGCCCACGGCCAGTGGCTTCCTGAGGCTCAGGACCTGACTGGACACACCGGTCGGCTGCTGTCCTGGCGGGCAGCTGGGCTGCCCCCACCCCTCTGGCCTGTCCCCTGCAGGGTCTGTGGCTGCGCCTCTCTTGGTTCCTCCCTCTCTCCTGGTTGCTCCCTCTCAGGCGGGTGGGGCTCTGTCCCAGGGCCTGCCTGCCCCTTCTCTCCCTCCTGGGTGGCCTCCTGTACTAAATACTGACCTCTCCCTCTAACTGAAGTCCTCCTCAGCTGCTCAAGGCCCAGCCCTGGCTCCTGCCTCCTGACTTCCCTGAGGGCACCAGGCTGCTCAGGCTAAAAGTCTCTCCTGCCTGTCCCCCTTCCTTTGACACTGATTTCAGCTCACTGAGTCACTGTCCCTCCCGCCCTTCCTCTGCAGCTGCCACAGTGAGCCGGAAAAGCACCCTCAGATCAGGTGAAGACCACACAGGATGGAGCCCCAGGCCCCGAGTCTGCCTCTGACCAAGTCACTCCCACCTTGTTCCTGTGAACCCTGCTGCCCCAGGGCCTTTGTGCATCCAGTCCCTTCTACATAGAATGCCCCTTCCTCCAGATGGCCACCTGGCTGGCTCCTCCCAAGCCAAGACTCAGTTTGAATGTCACTTATCTTTCTTTGCCCCCTGCCCCACTGGCAGTGGCGAGGGAGTCACCTTAATTCGGTGACCTCATTAATTGTCCTCACGGTCAAAACCATTTCCTGGTTGTTTTCTCTGGCTGGGCCCTCACAGCTCAGGGAGATGCTTGGCACACAGTAGGAGCTTAATTAGTACTTGTGGAGCAAATGGACTCCCTAGGAAGCCAACAGAGCTCTGGGGAGACAGAAGGGAGCCCCAGCACCAGCACCTGCACCAGCAGCTTGAGGCGCGTGATCCTCTGGAAGGGCAGGATGAGGAAGGAGGAGAAGGGCAGGCCTCTGCACTTGGGGTCGAGCTCCAGCTGCGCGATCAGCTCCCGGAACGCTGCCTTCTCCTGGCTGGGGACACAGACACAGCAGTGGGTCTCTCCTGTAGGTGCGCATGGAGACGCTTCCTCCCCACTGACAACTCCTAGGGATCCGGAGACCCACGGTCAGGGGAAATGAGTTCTTTCTTTCTCTCTCTCTGTCTCTTTTCTAATGGGAAATCAACTGTTCATGCACAAGTCAAATAACAATAGTGACTTCGTAGGCCCAGCCCGTGAAGTCTGCAAAATAGGTGGCGTGTGGGAGGGCGAGGATTCTTTGTGTGGCCAAGTCTGTGAATCAGGCACACAATTAGATGATTTCACTCAGGAGGACGCCATGGCGAGGTAACCCACGTAGTGACGGGAACAGGCAGCAGGCGCCAATCACCTGCCAGGAGGGCCTGAGCTATTTCTGACAGGTGGGCTGGGCACAGTGCTGACAAGGACCTGGGAGGCTGTGGGAGATGAGAGTCAGCCCCGGCTGCACGTGCCGAGTGGTGGCGCCCTGCCTGCTGCTGCTCACGTGGCACAGGGAGGGGCCCCAGGGCCTCCTGGGCACGGCGGTGCGTGGGCACCTATCTGCTGGATGCGCGTCTTCTCAATGCCTGACCTCAAGTTCCAATTCCCAAACCCTGGAGCACCTGGATGCGCAAATTCATCCACGAGTAACCCTGGGGTCCCGCAGAAAGGCCAGCCAAGGGCAGGCTTCAGGCCCACAGGGACAGCAGGCCTACGGACGAAGCATCCTTGACAGACCATCTACATGGAGCCGAGAGGCCACGAGGACAACTCTCCGGTCCCCAGCTCTTGTCTCGGGAGCTGCCCTGTGAGGCCAGTGCAGCCACTCTATCTCAAGGCTGTGTTCTCAGCAACTGTCCTGGGAACTATGACCACAAGACCAGGGTGGCACGGCAGCTGCTGCCAATCAAGCTTGCCAGCTCCCCCAGCGTGCGAGGACCTCTCTGTCCTCATAAAACCCCTGGCCTTGCCTTCGTTCCCGGGACAAACGAGAGGCCACCTCAGCCTGTCGTGCATCCTGGCCTGCCATCCTGTTCCTCCTTCCCAAGTGAAGATGGCTCAGAAGTTCTGCTTTCCTCTGATGTGGAAGGCCACCTTCGGAAAGGCCTTCGGAATTCCTGAGTGGAACTGAGTGCCCTCCTGGATGGCCCCAGCACCTTAAGAGTGACCAGTGCAGAAACTCAACAGAGGCAAGGTGACCGGAAAATCATCTTGTCAACGGAAACCTCCGAGGGAGCTGCTGACATGGTGGATTGATAATCGAGCCTAGGGCACGGCTGGGTAGCCAGAGTCAGCTCCTGCCCTGCCCTCCCTTCTGCTAGTTCATCCCCCTTTCAGTCTCCCGGCCCCCTCCGCCTCCTCCTCCTCCCTGAGTGCACAGGGCCTGCTCAGCGGTCAGGGACGGGTCTGGGGGACGACAACTCACTCACTTTGGGTCCAGTGGGATAAGGCTCTGGGAACATGCCAGGTCTGGGCACTGTCACTGGCCTGGAAGGTGGCAGGTCTGGATGCCGTCACCAGTCTGGCCAACCTCGGGGCCCCTGGGACCAGGGAGGGCAGGGACGGGGGGGACACTCACAGCAGCTGCTTGTAGGTCCTCTCCTGGTAGGTCTGGTTGCTCACATAGGTGATGTAGACGGAGAAGTGGCTGGCGGCGTAGTGGTACACGATGTCACACACGTCGGAGATGACGATGTTCTCCTCCATCCTGTGCTCCAGCTCCAGGAGAAACCTGCAAGGGGCAGCGGCTGGGCTGAGGACACGGGGCAGGCAGGCTCAGGACACACCCTGGCTGGGACAAAGCAGCGCGCAGGTCCAGGAGACTGGCCCGGAGTCTGCACGTTGGCGGGACACGTGGGCACATCTGGTTTGGATGGACGACAGCATCGGGGTAGACAGATGCCTCATCTCGGTCTTGGGACAGACTGTGTGTTTGCGGAGGGAGTAAAATGACCATGAGGCCTTGCTTCAGGATGGTCCCATGGGGGTGGCCGGGGTGGGGGAACCTGTGCTGCCCCTGTGCTGCCCGTCACTGCTGAAGCAGGGCCTCGGCCCAGGGCTCACTGTGTGGTGTCTTTCCCACAGTGAAACAGGAATCAGCACGTAGATAAAAGGTGCAGAGGCCAAGGCCAAGGGTCTCTCCGGCTGCTCAGGCCTCGGTGACCATTGTGTCCAGAGCCATCCAGACGGGCCTGCCACAGGGAGGTGGAGGGACTAACGCACAGGTGGGTGTCAGTCAGGGGGCCACATGTGATGTGGCATGCCCAGGCTCACAGCTGAGTGCAGACACTGGTCAGCTTCTCCCCATGTGGCCTTTAGCAGCCCAGCTGCCCAGGCCACAGTGAGGTGGTGGTGGGCCTCTGACCCCGATAATATGCCCGAGTTCATTCCTTCTTTGAGAGAATCAATGGATGTCTCTTTTTCCCCCATTGACTCACCCTTGACTTCAACCAGGCCCAGCCATAAGCTCAAAACCACTTCCCCCAACTACGGCTCACACCATCCAAGAGGATCGGGAGCCTGAGGGCAGGAGGGTGAACTGCTCAGGGGGACACACCCACAGGTCATGGACTGGCCGAGGACCCGCCTGAGAGACGGACTGCAGTGGACAACTGCGGGTTCCGTGCGTAAGAAAGGCCATTCAACATGGCTCCAGTTCAGGGTGGGGGTCCTCCCGGCCACGGCTCCATGGAGACCCACAGGGTATGGCTGGTGGGGCCGGACCTGGGACTTGCCACTGGCCACCTGGCTGCGTGGGGAGGTGGATCTTGGATTTATGTCATTATTGGTCATATTAATTATGGACAATTCCCAACAATCAAGAGCAGAGCAGCCCTGAGACAAGCACCACGGCCAGCTTCGGCCGCCTGGATGGCAGCGGCTCTCACCGCTCGCTCACAGCCAGGACGTCCTGGACGTTGGAGAAGAGGATGTGCGCCTCGGACGGGTGCAGGATCTTCTTCATCCGCTCGTTCTCCACGAAGTGGGACACCAGCAGGGTCAGGCTCTTGTAGTAGGAGGCCTCGGAGGTGACCAGCTCGAACATGGCCTGTGTCGGGGGGGGCGGGGACACAACACAGGAGACCCGTGGTCACTGCCTTGATTCCAGGGAAGCCCAACTGCGTCCTCCCGCTCAGAGGCCCCGGGAAGCCCAGCCGGCTGTGAGGGAGGCACCGAGGTATGTGGACGGCTGCTCCCCGATGCTGCCACCCATCCCCAGGGGACAAGCAGCTCCGTGAAAGAGGGCACAGTGTCCTGCCCTTTGAGAGCACGTCTCAACCACCCTTCCTGTGCCATGGACATGGGGACAAGCTGAGGTCCAGGACATGGGGAGGGCAGGAGCACGTGAGGTAGCCACAGGGTGGGGGTCCTCCAGGCCCTGGTTCCTGCCCGGGTTACTGGCCGAGTCAGGAGGGAATGTCGTCGGCGAGCAGAGGCCCCCGACTCCACACGCCCAGAAAAACATTTCGAAGGAAACGGGTCACCATGACACCTCCGGCTCCAGCAGGGAGGAATTTGGGGGGGACTGTTTCCTTTTTACTTTTTGAATTGTCTGAAAATTAGAAAATGAGCCTGTATCATCGCTCCTAAGGTTGGATTTTATAATGTAATAAACAATCTTCATTTTGAAAAAGAAATCCTTACCTAATAAGCTCTTCTGAGGCACCTCTTTTCCATCTGTGTGTGTGTGAGTGTGTACAGTGTGTCTGTGTGCATGTGTGCGCGTGTGTATGCGTGTGTTCTTTTGTTCTTTATCCACTGAAGCTGTGAACACCACAAAACTAACCGAAGCTCTGCCCTCTCAAGTGTGGCTCCGTGAAGCTCACGCAGCAGCCTGGCCGGCCTGCCTTCCGTGCTTACCGTGACCTCCATCTGTAAGGTCAGCTGGCACCTTCCCCCTTCCTCTCCCATCTTCCTCCACTTCTTATTGGCCTAGGATGGCTCAGGTCCCCAGAGGGACAATACAATGGGTTGAACTGTGCCCACACCCAGAGGCTATGCCCACGTTCTAGTCCCCAGAGCCTGTGAGTGTGACCTTGTGTGGAAAAGGGTCTTTGCAGATGTGAGTTAAGGATGTCAAGGTGAGGTCGTCCTGGATTTCGGGTGGGCGTGCCCACAGTGGAGAGACAGGGAGCCATGATGAATACAGGATGGAGAAAAGGCGGGGAGCTGTGGCCACAGCAAGGGACACTTGGAGCTGCCAGAACTGGAAGAGGAGGGAGCGCAGCTCTGCAGAGACCCCACTTCAGGCCTTTGGCGTCCACACCTGTGGGTGAGTGCGCTCAGGTTTCTGTGCCCCCAGGCTGCGGGCAGTCCTGGGAACCAACACAGCCGGCAGAGGAGGATGGACGGACACAGCCATGGTGAAGGCAGGGCTCTGGCCTCCCCAGGTCCAGCAGGCTACAGCTCCAGGGGTCAGGAAGGAGGGAGGGAGAACACACAGGCTCTGGGGACAGGGTCTTTGTACAGCTGTCCCTTCAATCCCCAAGGTCCCCCAGGAAGGAGGCATAGAAGCTCCTGTGTCACCAGAAGGAAGCGGGAGCAGAGCTGAGGCCACCTCTGTGGTGGGAGGGCTGTGGGTTTCCCCGTTCTGGCTCTGCACAGCCCCTGCCATGAAGCCTGATGTCCCATGCTCTGGCCAGGCTGGCATTGGCCAGCTGCGTCCCAGTAGGGCGGCCGCTTTGAGCCCTCAACCAGCCTAGGATTCCCATCCTCCGGGAATACTCATTAGACCCCAAATTTATGAATCACAGCATGGTCCCCGAATGGCGCTCTTAGTTCTGGCTATTGCACTTGGTATCTGCAACAGCCGCGTTCCACTCTGAGGGCCTGTCTACTCGCCACTGCGAAGCCAGCTCTGCCCTGGATTCCCTGTGACCCGTAAGATCCCGTCAAGGAGGGGCATTTCTCCAGGGTTTTGAGGACTGCAGCAGGCGGGGGTGGGCTGGGCGTCTGCTGTCACTAGCAGCCCTGCCGACAGCCCACCCAGCCAGGCACTTTAAGATGAGGAACAGATTTGTAAGTCGGGGATGTCCTGCAGGGCAGACCTGCCTAGCAACCAAGTTGACAGTGACATCCTGCAGGGCTGAGCCGCCAATCACAGGCACTGGGCCACCCGGTTGCCCCTGATTGAGACAATGACAGCGAGAACCAAGACGCTGACCTAAGCAGTGGCCTCTCCATTACGTCCTTGCACCACAACTGCCTTGTCCACCTGAAAATAAGCACCCACACAAAACGCACGGCCCTGGACTCCTGGTGGTCGACCTACAGCCCCAGTACTGACCCCCAGCTAGCCATGGGCTGCTCCATCTACCTACACCCAGCCTGGCACGGGGAGGCCCCTCATGAGAAGGTTCCTGGAAGCTTTCTTGGCTACAGATGCTGTCAGGAACTCACTTTCCTGCTGCTAAATTTAATTTTCTCGAGACAATGTCAAGCCTTCAAGGCTTCCAAGCTAACTAACAAAGGTGATCCAGACGGGCGTCACAGGTACAGGGCGCCACAGGTATGGGGCAGCGGGCACTGAGCCCAAATCACAGCAGCACAGGGAGAGGGGTCTGTCGACCACATCACCAGGAAGGATGCCTACCAGAGCACCCCGATTATGCATGCAAGGGCCTCCCTAGCCTGGGTCCACCTGGGTCCCTGGCTGGTGGCATTGTCATTCTGATGCCAGGAGGACGAGGTGGTCGGGAACAACCAGGCCTGGCCTTTCAGAGGCTGACTTTGGCTTGAACCACCGCTCACTGAGCCTGGCGGAGCCCATTCACCCAGCACTCACCCCCTCTTTATCCATTTACAGGCAACTAGTCATCTGCGAATTTTCCTTTGGCAGGGTGTCTGTCTTGTGGCGTATGTCCTGGTATTTGTGACATCAATATGGTCGCCTTTTCCTTGTCCGTGTAACTTTACTATCAGAGGCTGAAGCCTTTGTAGGTGGAACAGGGCTAACGAGGGACCTGGCCAGCCTGCTCACTCCTTCACTCCTGCATCTGTTGGTGCCACAGAGTTCACGGGACATCTGCTGTGTCCAGGGTCTAGGCCTGAGTTCCCAGGTGACCAGGCACAGTCCCTGCTGTCACCACGGGCTCACAGCCCAGGGGAGCAGAGACAGCAGGTGTGAGAGAAGCCTGCAGTGGAGTCAGCTGAGGCACACCGAGGAGCAGGCAGGGCCAGGTGGGTGTGAGAGCGAGTGTGAATGAGTGTGAGTGTGCGTCCCAACTTCTGCTGAAGCCTGATGTCCCATGCTCTGGCCAGGCTGGCATCGGCCGGCTGCGTCCCCACCAGGGCAGCTGCTTTGAGCCCTCGGCCAGCCTGGGATTCCCATCCTCGGGGAATACTCATTAGACCGACCAAACTTGTGAATCACAGCGTGGTCCCTGAATGGCGCTCTTGGCCCTGGCTATTGCACTTGGTATCTGCAACAGTCATGTCCACTCCGAGGGCTTGTCCACCCGCCACTGCAAAGCCAGCTCTGCCCTGGATTCTCTGTGACCCGTAAGATCCCGTCAAGGCAGGGCATTTCTCCAGGGTTTCGAGGACTGTGACGTAACTGGTTGGCACGTCCCTCTGTGGGCAGCTGAGCTGCAGACTGGCTTGAGGCCTGGAGTGGGGACTTGGCCAGAACCTCTGCCACAGTGACAGTTGCTCAGCCTCCCACTGAGCCTCAGTTTCCTCATGTACAAATGGCCGCCTGACTCGTCGTGTGGCTGTCAGGAAGCGACTGCAAAATGCTCGGCCTGGGGCCTGGCCCGCCACAGAGCCCGACTTGGGCATTTCCCGTCCAACCGCTGTTGTTGGTGGCCTCCACGAGTGGTGGGAAGGCGCTCTGGCCAGACGGACACTGGGATTGTTCCCCAGAGGATGGCAAGACAGCCCATTCCCAGGAGTGCCAAAGATGGGTTCTCCAGGGCAGGAGATAGGATGGTGGTGAGGGAGGGGGCAGGACATGGGGGGCCCTCTGTGCATGTCGTGGGCCATCACTGACAGGGACGAGTGGGAGACCCTCAGACCTGGTTTACATCTTCAGGTCCATCCCCTCTGACCACTACGTGGGGATGGACACCAGGAGCCAGAGTCAGGAACAGGGAGGGCTGTGGCCCTGAGCTCCGAGAAGCCACATCTGTCCGCCTGCAGAGTGACCCCCACTCAGTAAGCAGGGGGTCATGCTCTTCTCAGTAAATTTGGATTTTTCTCTGACCAATGCAGCATAGTGGACAGGGCTCTGGAGCCTAGGCGGGAGCCCGTGTGTGGGGGCTCAAGTGACAACTACTTCTAGTGCCACTCTGTGTGACGAGGCACAGCCCCATCCTAAAGGCAGCCCCGGAGTGCAGGTACCAGGGCCAACAGCACCCCCTGACACCAGCAGTCCCCGCCCAGCCCCAGCAAGCCCCTATCACAATGCTGATTATTAAATTTCCTCAAGACAACCCGGTAACAAAGCAATTTGAAAAAATTGATATATTAAAACAGGCATAAATGGACACCACATTCAGGCTTCCTCACAGAGGGATACGGACGAACCAGACTCCATTTTTCATCCAGCATGAGAGTCAAGGTAAAATTGCTAGATAATGTGCTACATCCGTGGTGGGGAGTGAGCACACCCACCCACAGACAGAGCATGGGGACAACTGGGCGGTGTCTTCCCAGTTTAAACACATGTGGCCTGTAGACCAGCAGTTCCACTCCGGTCCCCACTGGACCCACGGAGGGCATTCTGTCTTTGCATGATTTTAAATAATGCTGCAGGGAACATCCCCGAGACACGACCTTTTCAACTGCAAACGTGCATTAACAGGGGCTGGTTAAATATGGACCGGGTAATCAACAGAGCCCCCAAAGCTGCAAAAACATGGACTGCTACCAGGCGCAGGGGCACAGCCTGTAATTCCAGCAGCCCAGGAGGCTCCGACGTTCAAAGCCAGCCTCTCACACACAGAGGCCCCCCTGCAACTTAGGCAACTTGTGAGACCTGTGTCAAAAGAAAAACATTAAAAGGGCAAGAGATGTGGCTCAAGGGTAAGTGTCCCTGGGTTCAATTCC